GCTTTAAAATTATCTTGTGGATACGCCAATACACAATTGGTTTAAAATGGAAGCATAGCAGAATTCATCCTGCTGCTTTTAATGCAAAGGCTTTTTACTGAAGGAAGAAAATGTGTTTTCCTCGTGCTATGCATTAGTGCTGTCTGAGCTGCAGCATACGGTGGAGAGTGGGTCTTGCCTGTGCTTTGTTCCTCTGCAAGTGTTTTCAGGTGGTCAACACTGCTCTCGTACAAGACAGACGCTGTTCTTATCTATAAAGAGCACTAGGACAAGGATTGTGCCTGGCTCCATCTTGCAAAGAAGACGCATTGCCTTACAAATGCATGTTTCTTCAGTCTGTCATAACTCCCCAAGCCATCCTTCCTACTGTTTTCCATCAGCAAAAGCGTGGCCCAAGGAGCTGGAAATCTCTTTGCAGCCTAATAGCTGGAGTGAGCTTGCCAGCACTGAGCGATGCAGGTGTGATGCCTGTACCACAGATCGGTCTCACTGTTGTGTCACGACTCAGATTCTGACCATGCTGAGTTGTGATATGCTGTTTCTCAAAGTGACTGTGTTGGTCAGCCAGTGGATGCTACTACAGTTGAAAATGCAGCTGTTTAGCATCTCGCTTTGCATTTTTCTTTCAGCTTGCCTGCAGCATGCATCCTGAGAGCTTCTCTAAATCATCCAGGGCTGCAAACACTCTCACCCCAAAATGCAAGTCCCACAGGGAGTATTTCGTGTCCAGGTTGCTCTCTGCTGCTCCTCAAATTTCTTTCTAAAGATGCTGAGGACTGTTTCACTTCACTTGCTACCTGAACGGTCCCCCCAGCTTTAAAAGAGAAATAAATAAGTTGAAAACAGCTGGAAAACAAACCTTCCCACTCAGCCTTTTTAAAGACTGCAGAACCCAGAGCATGCATAGAACCATTCCAGAGGCATTCAGTCACTCCAAGTCAGCTGCAGTTCCTCACCAGTTACTGAGCTGGCTCCCACAGTCACTGCTGGTGTAGGAGATGGTGGAGACCAAGGAGAAAAGCTTATTCCCCTCTCTTGAGTACTCAGTTCCCCATCTGGCTAAGAGAGCTGGCTGTCATCACTATTCCCCTCTTCTCCAGTTAGGCATTATGCAAGGCTCCAATATGCTTTAGGAGTGAGGCCACAGAAAATACAGTTGGGGAATCAGGAAGGGTGTGGGGAAAGAACAGAGATGAACTGTAACCCACAGTGCATTTTATATTTAAAATATCCTATACTAGTAAAAATATGCATGAAAATTGCGAGTTCAGATTTAGATTAATTTTATAGCAACCTAAAATTATGGTTGTCCTTTAAAGAGCAACCACTAATGGTCTGAATTTCAGAGACAAGGGAAGGGAGGAACAGTAAGCTCTGAATGGGACATGAGAGACAGACAGAAAGAAAATATCTCCCAATAAACTTTCCTAGTAAATATGGGTATTTATGAGACAAAGAGGCTGCAATTCTTGGCCTACCACTCAACCAGGATGTACAGGTCTGCAGCAAGCTTCTGGCTGAGTATTTGCTTCTCTCTGCAAGAATTCAGACTAGCTGGTAGCAGCAATTTCTGTCCTGAAATCCAATCCATAGTTCTAAGAGACTATCGTGTTGTCATGGCTGAGTGAGACGAGGCATAAACTTTAATAGTGTTAGCAAATAGAGTGATACAGCTGAAAGCCTGGGTTTGCATTTCTGTGCTGGAGAAGACATAATTTCACAGTCATTTTTACCCTCATTATAGGCAACTGACAACTTCCCAGTGAAGTTGGTGGGCAGATATCAGACCTCTTACTGTGAGCTGACAGATGAATAATAAGCTGCTACATAGGAGAAAGTGATTTACCCTGTATGTTAATAAAGATTATCTTTTAACAGCTCTATAACATCAGGGATTCTTTAAAAATACAGCACCGGCAGATTAAGATGCATAAATGACAATGCCTTGATATGAAAAAAGCCAAGATATTTTGGTGAACACCCTCCCACTCCTGGATGCATTAAAGCTGCTTTTCTTGAAGCAGTGGAGAGAGCAGAGGAAAGGAGAAAAGCCTGGAAATGGGGGAAAGGAGGCAGGAGAAAGAAGTTATCCAAAGATGAATCTGCTATTACTTGTAAGACCCCTGTGTTATCACCAGCTACTTATAACTGGATTTGCTAGAGACCATTCTGCTGACCATTGGGTCTTGCTTTTTTTCTTACTCTCTTGCTGTACCAAGAAACAGCAGCGATGCTGCAATCCTTGAAGTACCTGTGCATAAAAGCAAAGCCCACAGGGAAGCCCAGCATGGTTTTTAACATGCACTTTATGTGCAAGGAGTGAAACCGTGGTTCATTACCTGTCTCCAGCCACTCCTTAAAAGCTGAAGAGCTTTTCTTTGTGTTTGTGTGGCTATGTTGCCATGGCAGCTGCTCATTTATTAGCTGCAGCACACATTAAAGCAGGCTATGTAACTAGATTGTGTGGAAGGTGAAGATGCATGCACATTTCTGTTTGTAAAGAAGAGTCAACAATCTCTTTCCTGAGAGCAGGTAATGGAGATGCCAAGCCAAAACAGAAACTGCCATGTTTTTAACCATAAAGCAAGAATGACTAATGACTTAATTGCACTGAAGTATGTAACTGTGCTCTGATATGTCTAACTACGCCAGGCATCTGATAGTAGATCATTCACTAAAGATGGGACCGAAACAACCATTCTCCTCTCAAATTTGAATAGCCAAAACCTTTGGTAACATTAGATGCTGTATTCAGACTGGGATTTAGGGCTAAACATAATCACCGATGCCATCAAGGCAGAGGACTCTAGGGAAGGGGAAATGGAGGGAGAAAAATGAAATACATAAGGTGTTTGGCTGGCATCAGAACTGAATTAGGCCCAGCAAAGGTGGCCATTAGCTGACTTTGGCTTGTACAGAAGAGCCATTTGAGTCTCAGGCAGAGGAATCAAACACAAAAAGGGGGAAAATTAGACAGGTTACTCCTTGATGTTAAAGAGTTACCAGACTTTCATGGGAAGCTCAAGAAGGCTGACATTTCTCCCCATGAATTTCCATAGTGTGGTAAAACAAACCCCAAACCATTCTTCTTGCTTTGCTCTCACTGCAAGGGTATGGCCAGCGAGCACTATCAACAACTTACAGGTATGCTTAGGCTATAATAGAGCCTGGCTTTATAATTTCCCCCTTTCTTTTTTTAACTCCCAAAGTAGCCACAGGCAGGAAAGAAAACTACAGTAGGATGACCCAATGGTGGGAACGCATGCTAGCACAATTTAACCTACTGGGTGGCAGAAACACTAAACTTGGTCTGAATGAAACACCAACAGGACCGTGCCTATGAAAGCACCACACAGGTCTTGATGCTTCTGAGCACGCGGTGTGGGAGTGCAAGGGAGTGACAACTGTAACACAACTTGTTAGTGACCGAAATGAGCCTTGTTTAAAACAAACACCGCTCTCCCCTTCCATATGGTCTCCTGCTGAGTTCTGTGAAATTGATTTTGTGCATGCTGCTTTGGGAGAAGCATCAAGGAGCAAGTGATTCGCATTTCAAAACGTGTAGCACATGACCAGGGAACAAATCTGTCAGTACCTTCGCTCTGGAGACCACGCTTCAGGCAATTCTCCTGCTTCAGGTGCTTTTAAAGAAGGTATTTCTCTCACCCATTTAAGTCCCCGGGATCACTGCCGTATCATGGTGCTAAACCAGCAGGACAGGCTGCCAGATTTGATAGAGCAGAACGGTGCTGCAGAAGGTTTTAAAGTGTTGACACATACTAACCAGAGGTAAGATGGGAAAATCTTGCATCCCTTTGCAGATTAGTAATGGAAAAAGTGCCATTCAGATGAAGTCAGATGACACAGGAATAAATCTTTTCAAAACCAAAATATTAGCCCAAACATTGACACAATCACTTAAATGAAAACCTCCCAAGCCCCTTTCAGTAAAACACATGAATTTGAGAGTTTCAGAAGCTTTGTTCTTACTCCAAGATGCTTATGAGTGGAGATTGATTAAATCCATTTTTTCCTTCCACAGCAGTTCCGGTTTCATACAACACAAACACCTCCAGAACCCCTGGAATTAGTGAAATGGGATTTCCTACAAAGCTGTGCCTCCTGTCTCCTTTCCTTCATTGCCTAACCTTACCTTAGCACTTTTTGTGTTTCACAGACACAGTTCTTCCCACTGCTACAGACAACCTGCTATTTTTAAGCAACTTGCATGTTGACCCCTTCCCACTCACTTCTCCATATGGGATAAGTTCTTGGTACTGGGGCAGGAGCATTAGAGGTCTGTAAGACACAATATTGAGCACAATGAGTTTCCAGGCTATTTCCAATCCTCATCATGATCACAGAATCATCACAGAATCCCAGACTGGTTTGGGTTGGAAGGGACCTTGAAGCTCATCCATTTCCAGCCCCCCTGTATACATCTGAATAAATGCTGGCTAAAGATGTCACAGTGAAATGCTAGGTTTTCCTTTCTATTAGTTTTCAATTTGGAGGAGCACCTAAAAAGCATATAACTGAGGAAGGGGAGGAATGGCAGGAGGAGAGCATATACACAACTCGCTCTTTTTGCTGTTTTATTGCTCTGAAGCCACAACTGCCCCTCTCCATTTGCTGTGGCCACTTTAGCTTAACTAGAACTAACTCCAATTTCAGTGCATGAAAACCTGCCACTATTTTTGCCCCAGCGTCTCTGCCCGCTATACACCTGGCAGTACTGCAGGGGATTTCACCTGAAGCCAGGAGGCTGAAAAACTGGCTTGAACTGTGGTGATGCTAGCCCAGAGCAACCACATGCACAGATGAAACAATATGTCTTAGCTAGGAGACAATAACTAACAGCTTAATACGTCTAAGCCAGGAGACAGTAACTAATGGCTTAGCTGGGAGCACGATCTGCTTATGAGAGTTACAAAAAGCCCCTAGTGTTAGAAAGCTCTTAGTATTAAGAAGCCCCACTCTCTTTTGCAAACTGAATTTACCTCCTATGAACAAAGGGAGGAGAGCAATCCCAAGCTGCAGGGACTGAGCGATGCTCCTCTCCAGCCACATCTGGAGCTTGAGTGCATGGGGCCTGGCATCCCTTCACAGCTGAGATGGAAGCTCAGTCGTGGGGGAAGCATAAACACCTGTGAACTCTGTTTTGGGAGGTGTAGGCTCTTATGTTGTTAGAGATTTCTGTTCAAAGAGAATGAGAGGCACATTGCCAGGGTGGGCTGGCCTTCTGAGCAAACACTGAGAGGGTCAAACCTTAACTAAGGACTGCTGTAGCTACAGTCACAGCTTAATGATTTGAGCAAGAAGTAAGTCACAGCATGAACACAGGTTCTGGTCTTCACTGAACACACAGCCAGAGCATAATTTAAGTAGCTTTTGTGGGATTTATGCTTACTGAACAACCCCAGATACTGTCTTCTGAACTTGTATTTCCATGCAGCTGATTCAGCTGAGAAAATCTTTCTGCTTTAAATCCATTAGCTTTTTCCATTAGAGAGAGCAACCTCTATGTAACTGTTTTGCAGACAAGCTAATGGAGATTTTCTGATTACCCACTTACTGACTTATGAGACAATCTATGTCCAACTTGGCCATAGACGTTCAGCAGTCACTCAATTTTCTTCCCACACAGCTCTCTCCACCCATGTTATGCCCTAAAAGAAGGGGATGAAGTTTTAGGTTATTAGGAGTAATCAGAACAGCTTACTGTGTTTCAAGTCAAAAAGGGAGCACAGGAGTCACAACTCCACATTACCCTCTCTACCCACTGTGACAGCAGCTAAACACTGGGGTCAACAACATCAGTGTTACAGCATGAAGCCAGCCTGCCAAGCCTCAAGCAGAGCAGGAAATTCACTCTATTTTGCTTCTCTTTCAGATCTCCCTTGGCAGTACTGATGCATACCCTGCCTGCCACCCAGGTAAAGGTCCTGTGAGCGGAACAGTTATGTCCACATCATGGCATCCCAAGGGCACAACTAGGATTCTAGGGGGAGCCATGCCTAAGCTCCAATCTAAATGCCTACAGGTTTCCTACTTTTCACTCTCCTTACCCTACTCCCAGCCCTAACTGTAACCCTAAGCCTGGACCAACATTTCTGCCCTGCGATGTGCTGAGCCCCTGGGTGCCAATTGCTGGTGGGAGGGTCTTGCAGGCAGGAAGCTTTTGCTCGCACAACCCGATCCACTTTGGAGACGATGTGTTTAAGTGACCTCATGCACAGCTTGGTGGAAATACACACTTGGGTAAGTTTCGATCGTACAGGCACTGGAGTGGGGGACCCGAGCATCACTTTGTTAATAATGTGGTACTTCTACTAGTTAGCAAAAAAAACAACATTGCAAAGGTAAAAACCAAAGGGAAGGATGCACAAACAACCCTGGGCTTCGCCTTGCTCTTAGAGATGATAAGAAAGCCCCCCTTTTTGTTTCATTCTAAGCTTGCTATAAAAAGCCTTTTTTTCCTATTTCAGATATATGAAAACCTGTCAGGATTTAGACCTAGTAGTGAAGTAACCTAAAAAAAACCTCCCAACGGGCATCTGATGCTAAGCATCAGAACAAGGAAGCACAGCACCTATTCTCCTGTTTGCCTGGCCAAGAGAAGGTCCTGACTGATGCATCTAATGCCTGTTTTACCAACGTACTAACCTCCTCCCATCACTTCCTTGCACTGCATCCGTACCAAGCTCACGGAAGCAGACACTCCGTACCCACCATAGCTCTTCCCCGCCAATGCCGAACAGGCAAAAACAACTTATAAGCTGCCCAAGCGCATCGCTGTTCCTCCTGCCGCCGCACCGCCCTCTCGGTTACAAAGCACACAAGAAGGATGGTTCCCGCACAAGGTACCCAGCCCGGGCCATCAGCGGGAGCCGCAGCAGGCTCACACGAGCAGGCATCAACGCAAACCCCTCCGCTTTCCGAGCGGGGAGGCGGGCTCGGCAGCAGCAGCAGGTCCCGCAGGATGTGAGCTCACGGCGCCGCCTCTTCCCCGTCCGCCTCTCGGTGCCGGTTCCGCCGCCCGCAGTCCCGCCTCGCTCCATCCCGGCGCCGGAGCTGGGCCGGGGGGGGGGGGGGAGCCCCGGCGGGGCCCACTTGTGGCCGGGGGAGCGGGGGCTGCGCTGTGCGGGGCTGTGGGGCAGCGGAGGGAGGTCCGTGCGGAACCCGCGCCGTGTTGTTGCGCAGGCAGCGGCGGGAGAGCCGCGGTGCGGTGCGGTGCCGCCATGGGGAACCAGCTGGCTGGCATCGCCCCCTCGCAGATCCTGTCGGTGGACAGCTACTTCTCGGACATCCACGACTTCGAGTACGACAAGAGCCTAGGGAGCACCCGCTTCTTCAAGGTCGCCCGAGCCAAGCACCGGGAGGGGCTGGTGGTCGTGAAGGTGTTTGCCATCCAGGACCCGACCTTACCCCTGACGAGCTACAAGCAGGAGCTGGAGGAGCTGAAGATAAGGCTACACTCGGCACAGAACTGCCTTCCCTTCCAGAAGGCCACCCTGTCCGAGAAGGCTGCAATGCTCTTTAGGCAGTACGTGCGGGACGACCTTTACGATCGCATCAGTACTCGTCCGTTCCTGAACAACATTGAGAAGAGGTGGATCGCTTTCCAGATCCTCACCGCTGTGGACCAAGCGCACAGATCCGGAGTCCGCCACGGGGACATTAAAACAGAGAACATAATGGTAACCAGCTGGAACTGGGTTCTTCTAACTGATTTTGCCAGTTTTAAACCAACTTATCTCCCTGAGGACAATCCTGCCGACTTCAATTACTTCTTTGACACGTCACGGAGGAGGACGTGTTACATCGCTCCCGAGCGCTTCGTCGATGGCAGTATGTTTGCCACGGAGCTGGAAAACATGCGGGACCCTTCAACTCCTTTGGTGGACTTGGCAAATAGCAATCAGCGAACGAGAGGGGAGTTAAAACGTGCAATGGATATCTTTTCTGCAGGTACTTGGAGCCATCAGGAGGGACCAGCCTGGTGTTTGTGAGTGTGTCAGGGTGCAGACCCAACCCCAAACCTTTCATTCACAAAGTACGCAATACAGTAAGCTACATAACTTCAGTGCATCGCCACGGTATCTAAGAAGGGAAATCGCAAACTGTCCTGTTATGGTTCAGCTCTGCCCTGGGAAAGAGATGGTTCTGCAAGGCACAGACCATCACCACCCTGTGGCTGAGGTTACAGGGATGCATAGTGTATGCCTCATGGGACCCAGGAGGAGGTTAGTCAGTGGTTCACCTAAGGTCTAGCTGCCTGGGGATTGAGCCAGCTTTCAGTTTGGCAATGCTGGCTTTAGAAGTCCCTTCTCATTTCATTGTCCCCCCCCAGGCAGGAAGTTGGATAACTCCATAAGCTCCTGCAATACTCTTGCTCACAAATACTTGCTACAGTCAGACTGCGGGGGTCTGCTTTGAGTCTTGGGCTTGTCTTGAGCAGTTAGCCATACGTTTGGTTGGGTTTTCTGTTTGTGTTTTGTTTTGTTTTTCTTGAAGTGTTTGAAAATCTGAATTTAAAGGTAATGGTGTCTTCATTTTGCAAGCTGCTCTTATGGCTGAACTTACAGGGCACTCCACTGATAAAGCAAGATGCTGACTTTTGGGAGCAAACTGCAGGCATGGGACCTGAATAGAACATGGTTAATGTACATGATGGGGGGAGCTGTGTTTGGAAGTCATGTTGTTTCTCACTGGGCGTATAAGCTTGTGTGAGTGAATATATGCTGTGTCTCAGCATCACTGTGGAAGCAGGGGTTGTTTCTTTACCTTCTGTTAAAGGACGGTGTAGTTTTGACCTACTGCCCGATCTGTGCTGAATTACTGGTGCTCTTCTGCCACGTGACAGTGATGTAGGTTCCTTTTCTGGTGGGGTGTTTTCCAGCTGGCAGGTGGCTGAAGGCACTGCCCCATGTTTCCTGATTGCAAACTGCTCTGCTGTTGTCATGTTTGAAGTAAAATACTTTGGAGATATTTCAGGGACCAAGCGTAATAAACAGTTTTTAGAGCTTGAGATGTTACCTCCTTTCCACAATCTAGCAACTCATTTGCCTTATTTTTAATCGAGCTAAGAGTCACGTAGCGTTTATTCTTATCTGCACATAGAAAGCAAAACTAAAGTGTTTATAATCCTCTGGCATCTTTGACTTTTTGGGGTTTTGTTTTGTTCCTCAGGCTGCGTGATAGCTGAACTCTTCACAGAAGGTGTACCCTTGTTTGATTTATCTCAGCTTTTGGCTTACAGAAATGGTCTCTTTTCCCCTGATCAAGTCCTAAACAAGATTGAAGACCGCAGTATCAAAGAACTGGTAAGTTTGGACTACAGCTTTAGATTTATTTCTGTGGTCTCTTTGTAGCTTTTCCACCTACTCTGGAGACAAACCACTTACTGCTTGGGTTTGGGTTTTGGTTCATTTTGTATTACAAATGTTTAAACCTTTAATCTTTCTCTCCCATTCTCTCCTACTCCTGCCTTTCTCAAGGTCACTCAGATGGTCCATCGTGAGCCAGATAAACGTTTAGCAGCTGAAGATTATTTGAAACAGCAACGTAACAATGCATTTCCTGAAATATTTTACACTTTCCTTCAGCCTTACATGGCCCAGTTTGCCAAGGAAACGTTTGTGTCAGCAGATGAGCGCATATTGGTCATACGTAAAGATCTGGACAGCATCGTTCACAATCTCTGTGGGCATGATCGCACAGAGAAAGCCGAGGGAGAGACAAAAGAGAATGGGCTGGTTATTCTGGTGTCTGTGATAACCTCCTGTTTACAGACTCTCAAATACTGCGACTCCAAACTGGCTGCTTTGGAGCTGATTCTTCATTTAGCACCAAGATTAAGCGTAGAGATTCTTCTGGATCGTATTACTCCTTATCTGTTACATTTCAGCAACGACTCTGTGCCCAGGGTGAGGGCAGAATCCGTGAGGACACTAACTAAAGTTCTTGCTCTTGTCAAAGAGGTGCCACGCAATGACATTAACATCTACCCAGAATACATTCTGCCGGGTATTGCACACTTGGCCCAGGATGAAGCCACCATCGTCAGACTTGCATATGCTGGTAAGAGGAAATCCAGTCAAAACTCCTAATCTTCAGCTTTTCTGTCTGTCCTTAACTGTTTTCTCCTCTGCTCAAAATCATCACATAGCTTGCTGGTTTTGGTTCAGTAAATCTCCCCGGAAGTCTCAGAAATGACTGCAGGTAAAGACAGCTGTACTCACTTAAGGTTGGTGGCAGCAGCTAAATGATTAATGAGTTGAACACTTAGCAGGTGAGTTTCCAGTGTAGAAGTGCACCCAAACTAAGTAATTGCATTTTAAATAGTTGACAGAATGTGTTTGCTCTCTGATAGATGAGTAAAAGTTTTTGTTGTGGGTTGTTTTTTTTAATTAACATTTAGTCTTCACTGTAGTTTTGCACATAAAAGCAACTTGCAGAGTGTGTACATGTGCTTTGGGCTAGGGCCTGGGTAGAGCACGCAGTAGGTGTGCCTACAGATAAGGAAAGGGTGAGAATTTAGGGAAGCAGCCCTGGCTTTATTCCCTCGATTAGCAAGAGCATAATGAAGAAGTCTTTATGGGGCTAATTATGTGAACAGGGCTTTCTGAGCTTGCCCAGCCTTTGCTGCCTTTATTAGTTAATCTCAGTTGACATTTCATTAGCTCACATTGTTTGCTTAGAGTGGCCTGATTGAACTGAATAAATATGAAATTAACTTAGATCATCTGTGTGTTACTATGCTTCAGAGTTATTTTCCCACAAAAAGAAATTTGATATTCAGGGGCTGAAATTACAGTATCTGCTATGTAATAGACTGGCTTATACTGTAGCAGATGCTTTCTTCGTACATTACTCGGATATGAGTTCTGCCTGGTTTAGAAAGAAGCCCTACAGTTATGCCCGTATTTATTATTTATCATGTACCTCTATC